CAGCACCTGAGGGGGTTTGGAGGTCGCTCAGGTCAACGGAGCATCCCGTGGGTCACAATACGTTAAAGTGATCGAGGTCAGCGGATGAATACACAGGTCATCCAGGTCATCATGTCATCTTTTGGAGTCACAGGGCGTTAAGTTTACCGAGGTTTTTGGTCGGGAAGGGGATCACCAAATTCATCAGTCTCAGCTCATTGCGTTCCCCGGCCATGGAAAATGTAGTGCTCGGACCGGCATGATGTTCTTCCACTCGCCGTATGGGATCATCTTGTTCGAAACACCCATCACCTCACCCACTCTCTGTCTGACTGTCGAAGCCGATCTGCCCAAGACGAAGCCGGCACCATGCGGCCGCATCGCGGAGCTACGCCTTACCTTGCCGGCGAAGTCGGAGACGTTGAAGATGGCCATGAGGACGACGGGCATCCAGGAGCCGAGCGTGCAGCTGTGCACCTCGCTCTCGATACCAGGGAACAGGCTGAGCGTGACAGGTACGCCAGGCAGATGGACACCATGTACGGCCAGACCCGGCGCAACCGTCGCCGAGCGCGCCTGGGTGCCGCCTGGCAACCGAAAAACACCACAAAATCAAGGTGAGTCAAGGACATTACAAGGTGAGGACAATATAACGAGAAGGACAATGAAGACAGGGTTCAGGACAATTCCAGGACGAAACGCAGCAGTTTGTTTTAATCGGCAGTGCCGGCAACCACACTAGCACAGAGGCTGGCACAAGTTTCGATACAGCGGATCCAGGAAATGCCTAGTACAAATACGGTTGTACGTGCCGGGGCGTACGTTTGAGCGCGGCGCAGCAGTCGAGCGCGGGGTGGCGGGCGCGGCCCCGAGCGTCGCACGTGCACCAGCAGCTCGCTGACGCGGTAGGACGTGCCGCCAGCCCGCTCCGAGAACGTGTCGTAGGAGGCCCGCGCCGCCGGCCGGCAGCGTCTCGGTCGACTGGAAGGCCGAGTCGTCGCTGTTGGAGGCGAGAGTGAGCCGCCCGTAGTCCTTGCCGTCCGCCTCCTCCACGATGTTCCACCTGGGGCCGCGATGACGGATGGGACGACGTGAGCAGGCGTGTGTTACAGGCATATGCACGACGGGCATTGCCTCGTTCCAAACACTTCTATCTAAGTATCTATTACATGCGTCCGCATGACATAAGTCCCCCCCAAACCAATGTAAACTGGCCACTCGACTACCTTCCTATGTACCAGTTGTGGCCTGGATTCAGCGGTGGCAGTGCCTGCCCGTACCAGTGTGACCTGATCATTATGCCGTACTTGCCCGGTACACAGTGTGGTCTGATCGCGGTACAGCGTCCGCCCCGTACCCGTGTGTACCTGATCATTACGCCGTACCCACCCCGCGTACCACTGTGACCTGATCATTACGCCGTATACCCGCCCCGTACCAGTGTGACCCTGATCATTACGCCGTACCCGCCCCGTACCAGTGTGACCTGATCATTACGGCCGTACTTGCCCGGTACCAGTGTGGTCTGATCACGGTGCAGTGCCTGCCCGTACCAGTGTGACCTGATCATTACGCCGTACCCGCCCCGTACCAGTGTGACCTGATCATTACGCCGTACTTGCCCGGTACCAGTGTGGTCTGATCACGGTGCAGTGCCTGCCCGTACCAGTGTGACCTGATCATTACACCGTACCCGCCCCGTACCAGTGTGACCTGATCATTATGCCGTACTTGCCCGGTACCAGTGTGACCTGATCATTATGCCGTACTTGCCCGGTACCAGTGTGGTCTGATCGCGGTACAGCGTCCGCCCCGTAGCCGTGTGACGTGATCATTACGCCGTACCCACCCCGTACCAATGTGACCTGATCATTACGCCGTACCCGCCCCGTACCAGTGTGGCCTGATCATTACGCCGTACCCGTCCCGTACCAGTGTGACCTGATCGCGGTACAGCGCCCGCCCCGTGTCAGTGCGACCTGATCATTACGCCGTACCCGCCCCGTACCAGTGTGACCTGATCATTACGCCGTACCCGCCCCGTACCAGTGTGGCCTGATCATTACGCCGTACCCGTCCCGTACCAGTGTGACCTGATCGCGGTACAGCGCCCGCCCCGTGTCAGTGCGACCTGATCATTACGCCGTACCCGCCCCGTACCAGTGTGACCTGATCATTACGCCGTACCCGCCCCGTACCAGTGTGGCCTGATCATTACGCCGTACCCGTCCCGTACCAGTGTGACCTGATCGCGGTACAGCGCCCGCCCCGTGTCAGTGCGACCTGATCATTACGCCGTACCCGCCCCGTACCAGTGTGGCCTGATCATTACGCCGTACCCGCCCCGTACCCGTGTGACCTGATCATTACGCCGTACCCGCCCCGTACCAGTGTGGCCTGATCATTACGCCGTACCCGCCCCGTACCAGTGTGGCCTGATCATTACGCCGTACCCGTCCCGTACCAGTGTGACCTGATCGCGGTACAGCGCCCGCCCCGTGTCAGTGCGACCTGATCATTACGCCGTACCCGCCCCGTACCAGTGTGGCCTGATCATTACGCCGTACCCGCCCGTACCCGTGTGACCTGATCATTACGCCGTACCCGCCCCGTACCAGTGTGGCCTGATCATTACGCCGTACCCGCCCCGTACCAGTGTGGCCTGATCATTACGCCGTACCCGACCCGTACCAGTGTGACCTGATCGCGGTACAGCGCCCGCCCCGTGTCAGTGAGACCTGATCATTACGCCGTACCCGCCCGTACCCGTGTGACCTGATCATTACGCCGTACCCGCCCCCGTACCAGTGTGGCCTGATCATTACGCCGTACCCGCCCCGTACCCGGTGTGACCTGATCATTACGCCGTACCCGCCCCGTACCAGTGTGACCTGATCATTACGCCGTACCCGCCCCGTACCCGTGTGACCTGATCATTACGCCGTACCCGCCCCGTACCAGTGTGACCTGACCATTACGCCGTACCCGCCCCGTACCAGTGTGACCTGATCGCCGGCCTGGGTCTCGGACAGCGGGTCGGCCGAGCAGGCTGCCACGTGGTGACGCACGAACGCCGTCCGTCTGAGCAGCTGGTGCAGAACGCAGCAGACGGCCACCAGCAGCAGCGAGCAGCAGAAGAACACCAGCGTGTTGAGACGCACGTCGTCCAGCAGCAGCCGCGTCAGGATCCGGCTGGTCGAAACCAGCACGCCGGCGGCGCCTATCGGAGGAAAGTGACACCAAAACACCCAACATGGAGCAGCGCGGACCATCGGCCCAGCAGCTCCGTCGTTGTGCAGACATGAGTGTAACTACGTATCTGGGATGGAGGGGGGGGGGGGGAGAGAAGGGGTATCAGGACCACATGGGTTAAACCGGGATCTTGGACTGGCTTTAAAAAACAAAATGGAAAAACGTGAATCGGTAGCGGCAACACAGCCCCTGGATGTGTTTTGACAGCGCCTTGAAAACCAGACTAGCACAGACAACACTTAAGACGGTGAATTGAGAGCAAGCCGGGGGGGGGGGGGGGGTCTACCAGCAGCCGTGATGTTGGTGGGGTTTGGAGCCGCACATCGGCGCCCGCTCCCCGATCGGCGCGGCGCCGCCTCCACTCACTCTCGCCCGTCATCACGGCCTGGGTGTAGCGGTTCGGCAGCATGCCCGTGTAGCCGTAGAAGCTCGACTGCTGAGCTGGAACCGGCCGACGACAGCTGGTGATATGTTAGCGGCGGGACCAACGGTCAGGTCACGCGGTCAGGTTACGCGGTCAGGTCACGCAGTCAGGTCACGTGGTCAGGTCACGTGGTGAGGTCACGCGGTCAGGTCACGCGGTCAGGTCAAGTGGTCAGGTCAAGTGGTCAGGTCAAGTGGTCAGGTCACGCGGTCGGGTCACGCGGTCAGGTCACGCGGTCAGGTCACGCGGTCAGGTCACGCGGTCAGGTCACGCGGTCAGGTCACGCGGTCAGGTCACACGGTCAGGTCACGCGGTCAGGTCACGCGGTCAGGTCACGCGGTCAGGTCACGCGGTCAGGTCACGCGGTCAGGTCAAGCGGCCAGGTCACGCGGTCAGGTCACGCGGTCAGGTCACGCGGTCAGGTCAAGCGGTCAGGTCACGCGGCCAGGTCACGCGGTCAGGTCACGCGGTCAGGTTGCGCTGTCGATTCGTTGTCACGGGGAGAGCAACGGGGTCCTCATATTGAACAGTCTAAAACCACTGTATTCCGCGATAGTTGCTAACATTCATACGGTCGTTGACGTAAATGGAATGTAAATAAGTCGCCTGATTAAATACATACATCAGTGAGGTTAGCAGTGTTTAAGTTTTTCACGTGGACCAACATTAACCGTACCTCCTAAACACCAGCAGTGCTAAGGGACAGGCAGTAAAGCAGGTAAATGTTGAGGCAAGAGACACAGACCGTGGGCGATATACACAACCAACCAGTCAGTCTTGCAGATTGAATACATTAGATTGAGCACAGATCTTAGATGAACTGCAATAAACAAAAGTATGAACGTATATTGAAAAAGGTCAAAACAGGACTTCCGATTCACATTCACGGCTTCCTCAGTGCCCGTTTTTTGCAATAAAAGAACAGTGACACAGGTTGTCACGATGAACTACATGTGCTCAGGCCCAGGTAATCGTGACGAATGGCCATTGACTCAGCAATTTGTGGAGCAACCACATCTTTGCAAGTACGGAACATTTTGCAGGTTTTCTCCGGTGAGTTGGCATCGTGGAAAACACGTGATTTATATTTTTCCCAGTTTGTGAAATGTTCTTGCATTGAAAAACTGACACTGAGGAAATCGTAAAGGTAAAACGTTTGTCCTGTTTTTTTATCCTATTTTATTACACCATAATAATTTTGGTGTTCTCATTCTTTGCATAACCAGATTAAATGCATTGTAGTCGGCCACTAATAATCAGGGCAGCACCACGAACCTTGAGTAAGGGGGGCAGGGTTTCCCAGGGGGCCTCCTCACGGCAGGGGGTGCTGGGCATTGTCGTATTTGAGAGGGGAGGCACCGGAGGCATGTGCCCCCTTATCAAATTGTTCCCTACCCCCATATCTAAGTAATATCCGGAACGGATGCATTATGATTATCCAGCAAAACGTCTCGCTCTCCTAAAATAAAGCCTTCTGCTCCAGAAAAGAGCCTTCTGATACACAGAGGACCATCCTAATCTAGAACAGGATGCTTCCGATTAATGATGAGGCCTCCAAATATAGCCAAGTGGCCTAATTATCCCCAAATCGGTCATTCCGATCCGGAACCGCAGACATCTGATGTATGCAAAACGGCCTCCTGTTATAGAAATGGGGCCTCCTAAACATGGAGAGTGACTCCTGACCCAGAATACATGCCTCCTAGTTCGTAACGGGAGTCTCCCGAGTCAACAAAGGGCCTCCTTACCACGACATCGTGTCAACTAGTTAATGACATGGACTACCTTATACATAAAGGTGGCCTTATGATCCAGTAAACGGCTCTCTTGATACAAAAATGCTCTTGTGAGTCCGATTTATTACTCTCCAGCTGAGTTATTGGGGCCTCCTTGATCCGAATTTCCACAACGGTTAGCGAAAGCGCCTAAAGTTCGCGTGAAGGGGCCGACACATTTTGTGAGAGTGAAAAACATCCTCTTGCCCCCCTGGCTGCTGACAGGGGGACAACCGCTCCCCTGCTCTCACTCCCACCTGCCGGACCGCTACTGGTCAACATTCCTGAAGTACGACCTTCATCATGGCATATGCGTTACCCCTCAGATAAAAAGACAGACCGAACACTGGCACACCCTGTCTGCCAGCGGACTGTGACCTTTGCTAACCTATATTGACCAGTGACCAGTGTGCCATATACTATGGGACCTGTGGAGATCAGCCACCTGCGGCGAGCGTGACTCACACGTAACTTGTGGTGACCTGTACCAAGCTGTGACCTGTCGCCTAGCACCTTCACCTACATCAGACCTATGGTGAGTGACCTGTGCTGACCTGTGCAGCCGACGGCGACCACGGAGACGGCCAGCAGGTTGACACCGTACGAGGTGGTGTTGCTGAACACCTGCCACCAGATCTCGAAGACGGCGACGAACAGCAGCGTAACGAATGACAGCACGTATCCTGCAACGACAGCAGGTCCTGTCAGAAGTGTCCCAAACGACAGCAGGTCCTGTCAGAAGTGTCCCAAACGACAGCAGGTCCTGTCAGAAGTGTCCCAAACGACAGCAGGTCCTGTCAGAAGTGTCCCAAACGACAGCAGGTCCTGTCAGAAGTGTCCCAAACGACAGCAGGTCCTGTCAGAAGTGTCCCAAACGACAGCAGGTCCTGTGAGAAGTGTCCCAAACGACAGCAGGTCCTGTCAGAAGTGTCCCAAACGACAGCAGGTCCTGTCAGAAGTGTCCCAAACCCAGATTCGCCTTACGCAGAAGAAATGCGCCTTTTCTCTGAGCTGCCTCATTAGAACGCTCCCAGGTGGCCGGTTGAATGCACTTCGCTCGAGTGGGGGCCAATTGGACCCTCTGAGATCCCGAAAACCAAAATAGCTAGACACCGAATTCACATGATAAGTTTTCCGGTACGAAAGCTCCCTTACGTCGAAATTTAAAGTTCCTATGTCATCACCTTGCGGTCAGGTAAGGTAAGTAAGATTAAACTCCAGATTGGTGTCCGAACTGCTGGTAAACCTCCTGATACCACCGCCGTGAAGCTAGATTTCTAATTGCATTGCATCAATTCTAATTTTCTACTCTAAGCAAAGTGTCAGTCGCGTTTATTTAAGGCCAGTGTTCTTTTTAATCTTAAGAAGGTCACGGTGACCAAAAAGCTACGATATTGTACCTATTTTCCCACTTGAGTAGGCGGCAAGGAAAACAACAGGCGGTATCTTGTTAAAACCGGCAGATGAGAGGTGCATAGGTTTCCCATCGATATGCCCAATTTCTGTCGATAGTATTCATCTCCGTACGCCCTAACCGCTTTACACGTAATGCATACTTGCGAGATTCCCCAAAAACAGAGAAAACCTCTTCAGCGAATTTTTTGTAAAGACGCATTCAGGCTCAAATTCAGCGAGGTATGTACCCTATACCCCTTCTAGAGCTCAACGTAATCTACAGAGCACAGGACCATCCGGACAGGAAAATGAGTGAATCCAATCTTATAATAATTCAGTGGCCAGACCTTAACGCACGGGGATCATCATGGCCGATTATGCAAATGCGATAAGTGCCCTGATGTGTAATGCGTGCTCGCTTAAAATCGTTTAAATGTATGAGTGATGCCTGACGCGTGATGCGCGATGGCTGTTTAATTGAAATATTTTGTAGGTATAAGTGATGCGTGATGCGTAACACCTGTTTACTGCAAATTACATGAATGTGTGAATGATGTGTGATGCTTGATACCTGTTTACTCGAATTCGTTCGCATGTACACGTATTTTTCGAACATTTTGGATTCTTAGTTGGATACACACGGTATCGTAGTAGTGGCTGGTAATTGCTTTCTTTAATCCCCAAGTGTTGTTTGCTTGTAAAAAACTGTGACTCGCCGTTCAAATGCTGAGTATAGGATCGGCAGGCAATTTTGAATTTACTCCTGATCTCCCTTCTGATAAAGGTAAACAGCCGAAACATCAAGACATTTGTCTCTCCATTCTCCTGGTTATTCTACGAGGAAAAGGCTGACAGTGCTGTCTTACCCAAAAATGTTAGAATATGCCTTTGATTTCTCCGCTATGGCCCTCACCACAGTGGCTCTTTTCGAGGCACACTTTGGCTTCGAGAATGGAAGCAATATATGATTCATGTCGCGCAGTGGTTCGAACTTCCACCAATCCGCTTCCCGGTAACAGGCCCTTCCCCCTGGGTCAATCAAAAACATTATTTTACTTGCATCAATAGAAGTGTGCATTGTGTTGTAATGACGACAGTGATCGCGACTGCAGGAAAGAGGCGCAGTGCTGTTTCGAATCGTTGACAGCGTAATTCGGACTCCTAAATAATCAACATTGACATCTCCATTGTGTCTTGACGGTGCTGCAGTGGCACTACCCAGTGTTTTGATTAGACGTAACTGGTCCTGAGGTTTCACTATTGTTCGTTTAAAAAAAAATGCCTCGGAGACGGGTTCTTTCGGGAGGAGGAGGAGGAGGTTCTTTCAATAGGAACATTGTGAACATCTTGGTAAGCATTCCACACAACTTCCAGTCCGCAAGCGTGTGGCTGAAGTGCACTGATAATCATCGAGCACAATTTTTTGTGTAAACCATACAGCATACTGCACTGGCAAGTCAAAATGAGAAAAAAGCAAAATGTGTATGTAAAATCGATTCAGGGAACCACTTTGAGGTGTGCAATGACGACAAGATTACGATATCATGACGGTTTAATTTTCTTCGATCATGTTGCAGAATGTTTGCCTTTCTTAACTATTTCAGCTGAACCTCTCCAGTTTTTTCACATGCAAAGTTCAAGGTAGAATTACCATGGTAAGGTAGAATTGCCAGTTACCAATTACTAGCAACACAAGGTAGAATTACCATGAACATATTACTGACTACACTAAAACATACAAGATAAAACGTGGTGTTCATATATTGCTTGGAAGCCATCAATAGTTCATGTTGATGCTAAATGACAGCCTCTGACTGCTGTCTTTGACAAGCTATTTCAACGTTAGGCGCAGTCCTGTAATTATTATGTCATTTTGGCAGGAAACTAGCTAATGCATGTTGAGTGGAAGATTGTGAACATGTTGGTAAACATTTCCACACTATCCGGTGTCGGCGCATATGACCCAATTGCAGATACATACACACACACACACACACACACACACACACACACACACACACACACACACACACACACACACACACACACATATATATATATATATATATATATATATATATATATATATATATATATATATATATATATACTTAGGCAGTATGCTTTCATTAAAGCAGGTTTCGTTATACGCAAGATGAAATGTACATGCAATCAGTGTCTTGTGCGTTTGTTCGATTGCTCAAATTAAATCCTTCGCTGTTTTTGGTATGTCATAAATCAAATTGCCTATTGTCATAGATATTAGTTTAGGCTGGCCAGTATTTCAAGGACATTCACTTCCCATTCTTAAAGCAATGTAAGACGGTCGGACGGAAAATATTCGAAGATGGAAAATTGCGAGGCATGCTCTACAACACATAATCATTGGTAAACCATCAGTTGACGGATTATACATCCGAATATCTGGTCAAAATTACAAAACACATACAAACAGAAGCATATCAGTTTTCCAGCCAGTATAACAGCACGGAAAGGCAAAAACATTGAATCCCCCTACTGTCATTGAGTGGCTGAGCATGTCCAAAGAAATGCATGACTTAATTTGTTTGCTGAAGTCGGGCGTTCTTTCTCTGATGAGGATGGATTCAAGAACTTGTAAACGGCGTTTTTTCAGACACACGCCCCCCCCCATATATATATATATATATATATATATATATATATATATATATATATATATATATATATATATATATACATATTCACGACCATCATTTATGCAATGTGCCACGCTGGCGTTGTGCACTGGCAAAGTGAATTGGACAATAGCAAAAGAAGTATATTCGTACAATTCAATAAACCATCTTTATGTTCACCATAAGTGCAAGAGTGGCTCAATGATTTCATGATAGCGACAGGAAGAATGGGTAGTGAGTGACCTAATGCGAGGTAAAGCAAATAGGCTAAGTAAGTATTTTGCGGCAGAGTGGAGCCAAATATTTTCATTTAGCATGCGCCCCGATGGCAGGTTGAGCGCCATTCGCCCAAGTGGGGGTCAGTTTGACCCTGCTGAGATCTCAGAAATTCAGAAAGCTAGAGGCACCAAATTTACAGGGTGTGTTGGCCTGTGCGTGAATTCACTTTCGGCAAAATGTGGGGTTCGTAGGTCATGATCTTCAGGTCAAATAAGGTCAAACCAGACAAAACTCCAGATTGGTGTCCAATGTGTCCCGAACCTAAATACCTGTTCTGAACAAAAGATCACTGGTGCTCATTTAAGGTCAGTTACCTTGTTTAACTTTGTATATTATGGCATGTTGTACACTTGAAGATGTTAAAGCAAACATCAAATATAACGAAAAAGCTTTCTTATAGCTATTTGTATATTTCGAAGCGGAAGAGACTGCTTTGCACAACACAATTTTCTATTTAGTGAATATGCGTCATGCGTCAACACGTCATTGTTTAATTGCGTCATGGAGCTTCTGTATGTCGTTGAGGTGCTGCCAAACTAGCCGTGTGAAATTGCTTCTGGGCACTCGCTTGTAGTACTTCAATCTCCCGGGAGGTGGCCGTGGCAGTGCTGGAGGCGTGGCCGTGGTGGTGCTGAACCAAACGTCATTATATGCTCGTGCTTTGCCCCTTTCTCCTGGTGTTTTACACATTAATCCCGGAATGTAACGCGTAATTGTGATGAAATCCGACCCACTTGTCCTCCTTTTTGTCTTATCCTTAACCATCACGGCGCCCCGCTAATCCGGGGCAGGGTGTTTGCGCACGCCACGAGTAGGTCGAGAGACCCCCTGAGAAGGGAGACACGACCGGGCTCTCAGCGCGTACCCAGGGGGTTCCTGCACGGGCTAAAGCTCGGCGGCTGGCCTCCTGGGCGTACGCAGTTCTGTCCCACCGATGTCCGTTCTCCTTCATCCCATAACCCTCAAATAATTACTTCTGGTCGAAAGGGGTCTAGTCCACACACGCAATCGTAATGAAAACTGGCTGCGCCCGCTCAAAGTCGACAAAGAGCAAATTGGCATCCATTAAATCTGGCCATGGTACTCCCGAACGCCAGATATTAACGGCACGTTGGTTATATTTTTGTTGGCCTTGAACACGGCATGGCTGATGGGGTGGCAGGCGTTGAGTTACGACTCTATGGCGACATGCGTGTTTAACCGCGCCAAGTTAGCTTCGTAGCCGACTGTCAATGATCATGGCATAACTCGCCAAAAACAACTATATCGTCATCTCCAACGAACATCATTCACCGCCTTGTCACACAGCCATCATCCCACATGGTCAAGCAAGTCACCACCTATCCCAGCCCCCAAAACCAACAAGACCATGACCCTACAGCTAAGCCACCGGTGTCCGACCGGACGGCCTCGCAACTGACCGAAGACAAACTATGACTCCACAGCTAAGCCACCGGTGTTCAGCCGGGCGGCTTCGCCACTGACCGAAGAGGATGCGCTTGTGCAGGTCAACGGCCTCCACCAGTACGTTGTTGAGCAGCACTGAGCAGAAGGCCACCAGGATGTACGTGAGCGAGAGATCGAACACGATAGTGGAGCCTGGGTACTGCGCCTGGAAGTAGTCGGCCGCCACGATGAAGCTGTGGGAAGACGGGAGCGATGACGGCGTTGGCAGCGCCGGTACGGCAGCACACGCTGATAGAGCGCGCGGCGCCTTGTTCGACAGGCCTATGCATAGACGCATAAATTATAATATGCATAATACGCATCTAATTATCGTCATGATGTGGTGTGTAGACTTACTGTAATGGAAACATTGGCCTCACGTTTGCATTCAGACAAGCATTGGCAGTCAGAATGCTCCACATTCGAAGCTTTTGAGGCAGACACCAGGTGTGAAAAGCTAAGCTCACTTGGAACTATCGGTTTGTTTTTAAACATAAAAGATCGCTCGATAAAACAACAGATCACTCCGTAGTAAATATGTTCTTAAATGCGTCCTCGTTTGATCACGTCATAGGACGTCTTTATGACGTCAGAGTCGCTGCAAGAGTGGCCGTGTCAGAACTGCCTCCGTAACCGACGGACTGACTATCACGTCATAGGACGTCTTTATGACGTCAGAGTCGCTGCCAGAGTGGCCGTGTCAGAACTGCCTCCGTAACCGACGGACTGACTCACTTGTAGTGTTTCAGCCTGCTGAGATGTGGGGGCGTTTGCTAGTGCGTGTTCGCCGAGACAGAAGTTCGTTATGTACTCTTGTGTTGGGTCTTTCTCATGGTATTCTTGCATATTTGTCCGTGACTTTGTGTTGTTTACTTGCGTTCACGCACTCAGTCGTGCTGTTATTCTTAGGCTATTAAATTTCCAGCCTTGTTTTCGTCATAGCGCGTACCGCTGTTCTAACCCTTATATTGCGTAACACGAAACCTAATTCGTGCTCGAAGGTTGCACTCAACGGATTGCGTTAGTTCCTTGTTAATTGATGCCGGTCGACGTCACAAATTGTGCAGACGTATTCCAGACATGAATAATTTGCTGATCATATTTTTCTGGGCCTCAAGCACTACATAGTTCAAGAAGTGACCTTGAAATAGTCTGCACATGCTTGCGGGTGTCAAGCTCGGAAACAAGAGAATGCTAAGTTTATTTAAGCCTTGTGAAAGGCTTAGCTGTGAAATGCACTGAATGATCTTCAAAATAACTACTTCAGCCCAAAACCCCACACAAAGGTGCAGCACTTCCTTTAAAAGTGGTTAAAAATGATAGGATCATTTTAGGGGTGTGATTAGTTTAGATTGCAGAAGGGGTAAACATGAATATAGTTTTTTACCGCCAATTTCCATCATGTAGACGGCAAGGCATGTCCGATGAATGCAGTAAAACCTAGATTTACACGTCAACATGGTTATTGAGAGAGTGGAAATAAGCCTAAAGACAATAGGGAGCTCATTTCGACCATTTGTGCCCCCCCCCCCCCCCCCCACATGGGTCAGGTCTGCTAAGGTTACCGTCAAAAATTGGTCCACCATAAGCCTACAAAAATGTTACTTTTCTCCACAATGTGTTTCTGAGTTCATTTTGTTCGATGCAGCTGTCGGACAAACGTGTTCCAGAAACAAATATATCGTTTTATGGTGATTTAGAGACAATCTAAAGTCAACTCAGGCTAAATTTACAACTCATCCCGCTAAAAAGATTAAGTGCTAGCCGGGCCGATGTGAGCACTACAATGCATTTTTGTGGTCAGAAACAGTGTATTGGACACCTATGGGCACTGGAAAGATCGCATAGCTGTTGTTTACATTATAGACAGTTCCTCCGGCGTTTGGCAATGTATTTGTAGCAACTTGAGAACAGGTACGTCGCTCCATGAAATTAGACATCAGCTTCACAAACAAAATAAGAAGGTAGCCACACGCGTCGCACTCCCTCATCCAGTCTCTCCGCTGCTGGCAACGTAGGTCGTTGATCGTGGATGACCTTCTATACCTTGCATGACCCGTTGGGACTTCGCATTATCATTTATCTCAACACGTTTTAGGTGAAATATTCAAATTCTGCGGCCAAAATTGCCTAAAAACTGTCTATTTTGAGCTTAGTTTGGTTTTGCAGGATGTACTCATAGAGATAGGCCATGACCTGGACCGAGGTCATGTGCTCTGTAGTCATATGATAGCTGCACATGTAAGTTACTACTTTTTTCCTCATATACAACAAAAAACTACACAAAAATACGTCCAAACGTGCACTGCTTACCACAGATAGCAGCAATTGACCTGTCATTAGGTCAACAGCCTCACATATTCCGAAAAGTCTGAAATATTAAGACTGTACGCGCTATTATGTTTTACTACTATGCAAAGTTTGAACAAAGGCAAATGAGCCCCGAGGAGGTTATATGTGGTAAAAAATAGAGGTTTATCTCGTTAACCTGATATAGGTCACTGATCTTGGTAGATAAAAACTTCAATTTTGAAGAGCTGATTCCAAGTTGTTAGATGAATAGGTACCGAGAATTTGGTGTCGCTGCAAGCGTTTATTTTTGACCTGTGCTCGAAAAGTCATAGGGGAGAATGAACTTCCCCGGGGCGGGCGTGGTTCACCTTATACGCGACATCACTTTTACTGCGAATATCCTTACACGACACGAGTGCAACTTGTGCGCGTCATTTCATCTACTGCACAAACTTATACAGTCCCTGCTTACAAACGGCATTACTTCTACCGCAAAAATTCAGACAAGTCATGAGTTCTACGCGCGGGGGTGAAAAACCGTCTTTTCCGTCACCGGCAAAACTTGCAGCAGCTTAAATTGTCATCTTGAGTCAAAGCAACCAGAAACCGCTGCAGTATAATCCTATATGCGATAAGCCACAAAAACAAAGATAAGCCAAATGTAATGTGGCATAGCTATCAAACACGTTCGTATCGGCAGTCTCATTTGCACTGAAGTTTCATTTTCTGGCCATCAAACATTGAATGCTGGTTGATACTAATCTAATGAAGTTGTCATATAAAGACGTGCTTAGCATAATGAGCCCTAGAGGGGTGCACTTTCCTGTTTATGTGGGGATGGGTGGAAGAAATTATACCTCCCAACCAGGAATGTATTTTCCTATTGTTATTTGTGATTTTTTTATTCATCATTTTTACCAAATCGTTATTTCTTTGGATACAACGAGGGCGATGTTTATGGTCATATCAAATTCGCCACATATTTATTAGTTAGATAATACCTCCTTAGGCATTGTCTCATAGCATGTCATAAACCGCTTTGAGACAAATTAATGGTACAAAGACAGTATTCAATTCTTGCTTGAACTGGCCAGTGATCAGATATCTAGAAGCGGCATCACTGACTCGGTAGCTTGGCTACTCATGTCGGCTTCCAAAGACGAGCCGACTGATTCAATTGATTCGCCAACTCCTTTGCTTGAATCTCTTGTTTGAGCCGTGACAGAACTTGAGCTGCTTCTTCCTGGCACTGGCAGGCTGTTCGAGTCCTTTGCTAGCCTTATTCAACAAATTACGCACATCACGTCACCAGCTGTAAGCCGTGGGTCATAAAGATTCTGGGTGAGATGATCGGATGGTTCTACAAATTGTTTCACTATTGCCTTCTTGTGCCGCAATAAAGGTTCACGGCAAAAGTGCGTTTGACGCGGCATTTCATAAATGCATAGCACTGCATCTTGTCTGCTGCTCCTAACACCTCGCAGTCTGGTCGCCAACTGACCACGGCTGCGCATTTGCCGTTGTTCGAGAACGGCTGCGTCATCTCTCCGACGCGACGGTCAGTGTCCCACATTCGCACCCCTTAACCACTTGTTTGCGGAGCGTGACCAAAAGCGGGCGTCGCGAGGCCGACCCCATCCCCACTTCACTTGCCCCGTGGCGACATCGGAACGCGAATGAGATATGTATGCTCACGTTTCCTGTCCTATACAACCATCGAACAGTTTTGCAAATTTACCTCAACAAAATGCTAGCAAAAGCAATTTATCAACGTTTGACCTGATGTGACCTTGAACTTGACCGCGGTTTATGAAATCTAACTCAAGGTTATTATGGATAATCAAGCATAGCAGCGACTGGCGTTGACCGCCTGTCGATATATCTATTTAGGTCGGAGACATGTAGAGATAGCGTTCGAAGCGCCACCTATACGCACTTTTGCGAGGCTCAAAAGCGATTTATGTGCAAAATATATGTTCTTAAAATTCTTATGGAAAGGCTAGGTTAGGGTGCAGGTTAGGGGCCATCAAAGAACGGTATGCTGCATGACCTCTCAGAAGTGCCCAAGGCTCTTCTAAGAGGTCATGCAGGTTGTGTGTGGCCATGTCACGGCTCACTCGGCGACCGTCGCTCGGCGAGGTCTAGTATTGATAGAGTCGTCTTTCGAGCCTCAGACTACTCTAATGACGTAGTTTCAGGTTTTTCGATAGACAAGAACGTAAAATTCGGGTTTTCGTGGTTTTGTCCCGGAATGACCCAGTCATCAGTCATCACATCTTACCATGTTTTGCCATCGAATCTTATCTTCTTTATCATGTTTTGCCATCGAATGTGCATATGAGTGCCCTCACGGACTTAATTGCGAGAGAAGTACGCTCGTCACTGCTGAGCTACACGTGAGTGAACTTATATCCCGGCCACCTTATGTGAATCGTAGTTTCACATCAGAGAGCTTGGTTGATTCATCTTCCGACGACTTCTCTGCAAACCTGATGTGCTGTTTTGTTAAACCGATAGCTTGCGCCACAATCGGGATATGTTACCCAGTCTTTTGGGCATCCGCTCAAACGAGGCGCTCCGACTTATTGAGTTACCGGACGGGATATAGCGCGTTTCGGAAGGGACGGTTTTAAGTGGAGTTTGACGGTATCTCTCTCACCTGGTTTGGCCAACATACACAGCCTCGAGAAATGGAATCATCACACTTTGTGCGCTGTTCTCCAGAGCGAAATAAATATTGTGGTGATGTCCGTCGGTTTTAACAAGAAAGCTGGCCATGAGCACAGCTTCCAAACGCCGGGTTTTCTCAGTGTAACTACTGCTTGACTGATGACATTGTCAATCATGTGATCCCAGTTGCCATATAATGTTCTTCCAGCTATCTACATATCTGTTGCGAATGTCGCGCAGTTCAGTTTCATTGTTATGCAGGTACATCCTGCAGTGTCGACGACTTTTGTATGGGCTCCCGTCCGTGCGTGTCAGGTTACGCCATTCCGCACGAGACTATGCTTCTGCGCGTCGGGCCGCCATTAATGAACGAAAATCGACACTGTTTTTCGTTGATCGCGGCCGGTTGATTTACCAACATTTTTTTGTTACACCCTCGCTTTAAGCTTTTGTATAGAAATGCTGCTTCACCTCAGCTCCAAATGGGAAGACATTCCTCAGCATCAAAACCATTTTGGAATCAGCCAAATATTTTTGTTTATTGACAAGAGAAAACTAATTTAAGTGTCAGGGATCGCAAATAAATCAGGATTTGGGTTAGATTAAGACAGCTTTATCGGCTCAGTCCCCAGCCGACTTAAGGAAGTGACACCTCCGAGTGGGACATGACAGCTGTTTCAGGTGCGTGCTGCACTTGTGCACCCTGCTGTCCGCTGGTCCTGTGATTGAATTGCGGCTGTTTGGATCTGCATGCTGCTATCTATGCTAGTTTCTATTATATTTAAAACTAATAGCTTTCCTTGCCACCAGATTTCGGAATTATATTCAGTTGAGTCGTGGAAAATGACGCTCGAACTTAATCGGAGTGAGCCGGCTCCGGCCGGCAGCAGTTTCTGACCTGCTGCCCTGGGCATCATAAGCTCTGACCTGTTATAGGGCAGGAGGAAGCCGGCTCCGGCCAGCAGTAGCGCCAAGTAGACGCCGTTGTAGCGGTCGGGCGGCGGCGCAGGCCCAGCCACGCAGAGCCGGGGCGGTGCGCTGCGGCCGGCCGCCAGGCCCCGACTCAACGTCTCGTCCATGTCACCCGCTCACGGTCTGCAGAGTGACATGGTGTCAGGGTCGGCAGGGCCACACGGTGTCAAGGTCTGCAGGGTCACACGGCATCAGGGTCTGCAGAATGGCATGGTGTCAGGATCGGCAGGCAGAATGGCATGGTGTCATGGTTTGCAGGGTGACACGGTGTCAGGGTTTGCAGGGTGACAAGGTGTCAGGGTCGACAAGGCCACATAGTGTCAGGGTCTGCAGGGTCACACGGCGTCAGGGTCTGCAGAATGACACGGTGTCAGGGTCGGCAGGGTCACACGGTGTCAAGGTTTGCGGGTTAACACGGTGTCAGGGTCTGCCGGGTGACACGGTGTCACGGTCGGCAGGGTCACACGGCCACAGTCTGGGCGCGTGCTGCCACCTGGTTAGGGAGTGGTGATACGTTTGTCTGAAGTTCCTCACACGGTCCATGCACGAGGGTGCGACCAATGTAAGGCTGCATCCAGACGTATTAATGATACGCAAACACACGGGTGATGGATGCACCCACCTACAGACTATGAGACCAATATCGAACTTTCAACCGACGCCCGGCTTTTCCACCCGATTTCCACCTGACAACGCGTACATCGTGGATGCAAAGACCATTCACAATGCGTCATTTCTGAGCTCACTTTTGCGCTTACTAACACTGCCCTTAGATTTTGCCGACATTTTCATCTACTCCCTTTTTATACTTTCCTACGTCCCATAATCACTTGATCTTTTGTGCGTTTCAACTTTCCAGTTGGGAGTCCCAAATATAAATGTGAAAAGGGCCTAGGTGGCAGGCCATGATACACCCATTTCTTGTGAAAGTTTGACATTAACGCAGCTGACGGACAGAAAGACTTGACTAAAGAATGAGGCCTGGGGGTTTTAAGCCACTCATTTTTAGACTCTAAGACGTCCCTGACACCGAGAACCACACACAAATGCTACAAGTTATCCACAGGGAGCTCTCTTTAAGTTCTGACCTTGCGAGATGACCTGTTACGTCGGCCTCACCTGCATCTCAGCCTTCAGCATGCTGGGCGCGCTGGAAGTATCGGTGCCGCCGACGGCTCGCCGCCAGCTGACTGCGCCGTCAGCTGACTGCTGGACCACCATCGATCGCCAGCGCCCCTCAGCTCTTCGCCCGCAGGCGCTGGCTGGCCGTCCAGCCGCGAGCCGCGCGCGCCCGCCGACGCGGCCCGAATACATGGAAAACGATCCACTGAATCGGACATGCCGTGATCGAATCGGGATATTTGTGCCTCGCGAAGTCTAAATCAGGATAGCTGTGCCGAGTGAAGTCGGAATCTGGATGTTTGTGCCGTGCGGACTCTAAATCAGAATATTTGTGCGTTGCGGAATCTGAATCGGGATATTTGTGCCGTGCGGAGTCTGAATCGGGATATTTGGGCCGCGCGGAGTCTAAATTGGGATACTTGTGCCTTGCGGACTCTGAATTTGGATATTTGTGCCATGCAGAGACTGAATCAAGATATTTGTGCCGTGCGGAATCTGAATTAAGATATTTGCTCCGTGCGGAATATGAATCGGGATCATTGTGCCGTGCGGAATCTGAATCGGGATATCTGTGCCGTGCGGAGTCTAAATCGGAATATTTGTGCCGTGCGGAGTCTGGATCAGGATATTTGTGCTTAGCGGAGTCGGTGGTCACTGACAGGTCATCTTTGGCCAGCCAATTGCCAAGCACATCACTCACATCAACAAGCACGTCAATACAGGCACATTATGCCCCGACTGAGTGGCCGCATATACAAAACAATGAGCATTATTAGGCTTACATGGGATGGCCGTTTTCACATTTGACCTCATTTGAGCTACGCTTTTTAACACTACTGAAACCCCCTCACTTCGTTTCAGGCAAGAGGGCACATAATCTTTATTATAGTCTGGTGAACACCAAGCGGCACATTATCGTTCTCGTTCAAGCGCTGAAGGACCATTCCGTCCCAGCGCGGATACCTCACGCCTACCATTCTGACGACACGGAGGAGGGATTCCCTGGTCGATCTAGATGCCCTTGGGCCTCCCTGGCTTTCTGACCCGCTCGGTTGGCCCTGGATCGACGCAGGAGCCGTCCTTGACGCGATAAGATCCCTGATCGGCGCAGGTGATCTGATAATTGGCACATATACATCGGTTCTGCTTCAAGGGACCATGGCTGAAATCAGGTTGGATCCCCCACCGTTCGGTATTATGGCCCTTACCGACACGGGCCCCTTCCATTGTCTCAATGTGAAGTCTCATCATAAGTTATTATGTTTCATCTCATTTTCAAAGTGCCCAGACCAACGCAAGAGGCCCTCTGAAATTCGGGACCTTGCCCCTGTCCTTGTTCAGCAAATGTTTTAGCCGACTCGGGGCTCTTGTCGACACAGGACGCCCTGTTAGTCACTGTGGGCTCGTGACCGACACAGTATTGTTTCAGGCGCCCCGATCAAAACCAATTGCGGTCTCGACCTTGTCTTTAATTGAGAAATGGGACCCCAGAGTTCTGGCCGACAGAACCGAATGCTCGGTTGGAAGTGATCTCTGGCCCAAAAAGAGGAACGCACAATCTGAGAGGTGCACACCGGTGCAAGAGGCTCTCTTATTGACCTTTGAGATCGCAGTCGCAGTCGCAGACCGGAAATTGAGTTATCCGCGATCTGATCATAATTTGATCCGCCATCAGATTGCTCAATGTACTTGGAAAGTCAAGTTACTTCCATAATGCTTAGAAATTGTATTCATGGACGCTAGATCTGAGCGGCTCAACGATTTTATTATTCCTGGCCTTAAACGCCCCATGACTCATAGGAAGCCAATATTTTAATGGTGTCACTATGGCGTCATGCGTGCCGAGTGGCCTTGAAATAGTCTTCACAAAAATCTGCGCGTCTTCGCGGGGGTCCACGGCATTCGTGCTACAACAAAAACTCCAACCGACAGAAGTGCCGCGACGTTACTTCAACTGTCAATGCTTATACACGATAGGAGAAATAGCAGGAGAAGTGATGTCGTGTATAAATAAACTCTGCGTTTTCTGCGGTAGATGTAATGCTGCTTATAACTGATGACATATCACTCCTGTTGCTATCATATTTTTTCTTGTCGTAGCACTGACATCCTGACACTCTTCGCGGCGCGCAGCTTAGAAACTGGAGGTTTTTATCTTGAAGGGAGTATTCCACCTTTATATGGGGTTTTGAACTGAAATAAACATCTTCAGGGCCTTTTGATGCAATTCACGGTAGTGCCCTTTTAAAGACCCAAAAACCTCTAGTTCTTAAGTTAGACAGCCGCAAAAGTGGAAAAACACTCACTGCGAAACTACTTCAAGGCCAACTTGGCATTGATGTTGTCATAGAAACGTCATACGATCGCCGTTATATTACAGGCTGTTTTCTGCCTACGGTCAGAACAGCATCGCCGCCGATACATTCGCAAAAGTGATGATGCGGCACACATGACACAATCCTCGGAAGGCGATTGGCTGTAAGTTAAATTTCGTTGACGTATGCGTGTCGCGAACGGAAGCGTGGGCACTTTCGGGTTGTGCGGCACTCGTCGTCAACGGGGCACATTTTTCCTTACTCCTAAGCCACAGGTCAATGCTATAAAATACGAAAAACGCCACACTGTCTGCAAAAAAGTAGGGGACCGAAAAAAGAGCGGTACTCTCCCGAATGTTTTGAAAAAGAAGACGCGACGGCAAATCTTTTTTCTCCTGCTTGCGCTTTTTTATTCATTCTTTTGATGTATGTCTTACAGACAGCTCGGCTGGCGCCGTGTGCACCGGGGCAAAGAACCTTGCACGGGTTTATGGGTTAGCAAGGCTAGCGAAATATTACAAGAAATTTAGATGTATATTTTCCTAAAAATTTAACGCATGTTGCATCACAACTTTAAATATGTAGCAAAAAATGATGTCCTACAACTACAACCTCTTGAGT